GTAAGGCCACTGATAATAAAGATTCACCGCAAAACCTCGTATTGGCATAGAACACACTGAAATACCGTAAAAATGCCGAGGTTCAAACAAGAGAGGACCTGCAAATTATAAAATTTGAGTTTAGCACATTGAATAGCCATATTATGCAAGTGTTCAAGAGCTTCTGAGAACATGACTGTCTAGTGCACTTATCGTTCTTTATAATCATTTAGTACTATTATGGTATATGGATGTGGCACGGTCAACCATCCTTGTGCAAACATTTTTGGCCACGTCATACAGCTAGGGAAGCGAAATTGGGTGAGACTTTTGGGCAGCCGTACAGAAGTTGTAGCTATCTTTTGATGCTATGTACTATTTAATAATGGCAGTTAATTAATAATATTGCGGAACCATGCTCGAGAGCATAAATGCTGTTTAAATACATCATGATCAACCTTGTATATGAATGTACCTTTGCTCAATTTCGCAAAGTTGGAATAGCAGTATAGTGAAGATAAACTATATAAAACATATATAAAACTATATAAACGGTGTTATTCAAAACCTACAGACAAATTATAGTTCCGATGCGCTTCCCAGTGGTGTTATGGTTGTCATTTAGGCAATTGTTGTGACCGATGGTGAAAGAATTCTTGGTCTCGGAGATCTTGGCGCTTATGGCATGGGAATACCCGTTGGTAAGATGGCTTTATACGTTGCACTGGGCGGTGTGCATCCACATCAGTGCCTCCCAATTCAGCTTGATGTTGGTACCGAAAACAAGGTTAGTTAGTAGTTCACATATGCGAAACAACGAAATAGATAGTCATAAAGAAAGCGATGTTTACAAGCAGTGAGGTTATTTACTCTAGGCATTGCTAAATGACCCTTGTTACACGGGATTGAGAAGAAGGCGAGCGCGTGGACCTGAATATGACGCTCTCGTCGACAACTTCATGAAAGCAGTAGTAAAAAGGTATAGATTTGATGCATGTTCTTAGGAAACAATAGTTCTACTGAAGGTTGCCTTTAAAATCTGAAATTGTATCCTCATGATATATAGATTTGGCCGCGACACACTCATCCAATTCGAAGATTTTGGAAACGCAAACGCTTATCGTTTGTTAGACAAATACAAGGAGCAATATTGCATGTTTAATGATGATATTCAAGGTGCAGTTCGACGTACAAAGCAGGATGTAGTACTTGAGAGGAAAGACTTTCTTTCTGCTTACAGGAACGGCAGCTATAGTTTTGGCTGGTCTTTTAACGACCTTAAGAGTTACCAAAAAGAAACTTCGTGATCACAACATCTTTTTCTTCGGCGCTGGAGGAGTAAGTGATAGCGAAAGCGAAAAATAGAGATTTAGATCATTTATATGAGATGAGCAAAATGTTTGATGGCAGTCCAGATCTAATTGCAAAACCCTACTCAAGGCAGGGGACAACATTCCTTCCCTTGAGGAAAAGGAATTTGATCCTCTTCCTTGCTATATACGGGGAGGGAAAGAAGGGCAGTCAGAAGGTAGAACCGATTATATAGTATCGACCACGACCTTTAAGCACCACTCGTATCATCCTATGTTTGTGTTGTAAGGGGTAATCTTTAATACTATAAGAATCAAAGACTTTTAAGAAAATAAAATCCATATTTTGAAATGTACTTGGGCGACACTGTAAACATCTACAGTCCCACGTCTTCTGAAAAGTAGTGCAAAATTATCTCTT